TTGGGTAACATAAGAGTCCATGAGCTGATTGGGGTCTGTTTATGAAGTCTGCCACAGCATTCTGTGCTTCCACTCTGTCTTCTCTGTGTGCCTTCTCCACAGTGTCAAAGCATGTTCAAGCCTTCTCCACAGTGTCAAAGCATGTTCAAGTTTTCTCCAACATGCATCTCTTCTTATCTTCTGGGAGCTCATGGAAGCGCCAAGTGCCATCCATTTCAAGTGATTCATTGCCTCATTTATAAGTTTGTGGATTTTAATCCTGTCCGTTTTAGTGTATGGCTGACTGAAGCACCATAGCTGCTGGCTTTAACAGAGGTCTTCAAATCCAGTTTCCTGCATCATACTGTTTACACCACCCATGAAATTCACTGCACGATGCATGCCTCCCACATCAAGGTGGTCATGGTCAAATTTCTTTTGATTCCTCTATTTAATAATCTGTGCTTTGCAGTAGATTGCTTCATCATACACAACATACATCCAGTCTTGGTCCAGAGAGCAGAACATAGCCTGAAAATAATTCATCATGGTATACATTGTATTATCATCATCATTTGCCAGTGCAGGAACCATTGGACAGTAGCCAATAGTCATAAAATATCAGGCAGAAAATCTTCTCATATAAATCCAGTCAACAATGTAACAGATGGTCAAACAAGCTCATGCTGTCATGTGACTACAGACTTTTGCTTTAACCAAAGGCAAAAAAGTAAGGGAAAATACATAAAAGTTATCACCTGGGGCTAAATATTTCCCAATCAATACTAGTTTGAGTGTATAGTTACATTATCAATTGTATTTAGAAGCTTTCTGCCAATTCTGGTCAAAATTACATTATGTTGCTTCAAGTTATTGCTCTTTGTGATTTTTCCAAATTGGCTATCTAATAACATTTAAGCATTACATGATATAGCAAAACTGACCCTCTTTCCGCAGCTCCATACACCCTGGTGATGAGGTATGCACCTAACATGATAACAATGACACTTTTCTAGCTGACAGGTCACTAATAAGACCCCTTTTTAAATCTGGCTAGTAGACTAAAGATCACCCAGCAGGCCAGTGGGTGAGCTAGATACAGAATCCTTGTCCAGCGGGCCATCCACTGGACCATGTGGCTCCCTGCTCCCCACTTATCACAAGAGACACATGCATGCGAGGTCACTGATAAATAAATGTGAAAGAAAGGAATCAAGGTGCAGGGGGCATTTCCTGCTCAACTGGGACTTTTGTAGCAGTAGGTGACACCCTGGGCCATGAATCCCCTTACCATGCCCTGCACCAGGAGGAGTCATTTCTAAAAACAGTGTTTTGGGGACAGGATGTTACCTCTCATCATGGCCCAGTTTAGCTGTGCTATCACTCGTCAGACCAAGAGAAGTATTTCCTATGAAAAGCCAGCTGCATTTCTGTAGCAACTTGCTTTGGTCACTTGTTTCCTAGGTGAAAGACTTCGCCATTGCCTGTTAGCATAGGAGCCTCGGATGTTGCTAAAGATGACGAAGTGAAAAGGTTGGGGGTTGTGACATTCTTCAGGGTCAAGGGTGAAAGTAATAATAAATTCTTACTGGTAGGGGGGGCCAGCTCCAGAAGGGGCAGGGCCTCGGGTGGAAGGGGCGGAGCTGGGGGGGGGGTCCGCCTCCCACAGCCAGCCCATCCACGCTGCCTGGACCCCACTGCCCAGGGCTCCAGCGATGGTTTAAAAGGGCCCGGGGCTCTGGCCCTTTTAAATTGCCGGACCGGGGGGGGGGGGGGGGGGACAAAAGGGGCAACGACGTTAAAGCACCCTGCCCTTTTTGCCTCCCCTGTCAGTGGCCCTGCTGGTAGGGACCCTACCAGCAGGGCCGACGGGGAAGGCAAAAGGGGCAGGAATGTTAAAGCACTGCCTCTAGAACTTTAATGTGGGCTGCATACGGGTCGGACTGGCTTCCTACCGGTACGCCGTACTGGCTCACTTTCACCGGTCCAGGGTACAATCTAGACTGTGGGCAGCTGCGTCTCCTCAGTTCTCCAACATGGGCTGCCTTTTACAGTGCTTTGCTGTGACAGCAACCACTCCTGGCTTGCTCTCACAGCCTCTAGCATGTAAACTATTCCCAGCTGAGTTAGATGAGTGCTCTTCGCTAGCCACTCCTGAATTATACTGCAGAGGGACACAAGAAAATTCCCAGTCCCAGATGTGTCCCCAGAAATGTGCAACTTGCACTGCCCAGCAATAAAAGCTCAGAGAAAACCCGTCATTTCATTAATAGAAAATGGATATGCACAAATCTTGCTGTCCAAATGGTGTTTCCCCAAACACTTCAATCCAAATACACGCTGGGTTAGATAAAACAGGAAAACAAGTTTATTAACTACAGAAAGATCGATTTTAAGTGATTACAAGGAATGAGGCATAAAAGTCAGAATTGTTTACAAAGAAATAAAAGGTAAAACGCAAACTAATACCTAACCTAACAAGCTAAGTGAACTTAGAGCAAGAAGGTTTCTCTCACAATAGGCTTACAACAGTCTGACTGGATTCCTCCCAAGCCATGACCCCTCCCCATGTTCAGTGATGCTTTCTTTGTCTTTCAAACACTGTCGATGCCGTGAGTAGAGATGAGGAGAGGAAGGTGATTTAGGGCCTCTATTAATCATTTTTATATCATTTCCTCCTCTTTGAAGATCATCTCCAGCTGGAGTTCATGTGACAGCCAGTCTGTTTAGCCCAGCTGTTCCTTTGCCAAGCTGTAAATTTCTCGCTCACACCTTTCTTACTGCTAAAGAATGGTTGCTTAACTAGGTGATAGTCCATTTGATTGTGCTGAGGTGCTGGCTAGCCTTGGTCTCTGGGCAAATAGTTTGAAGCGGTTTTTCTAAACTTGGAGCATGTCTCAGTAAAGTCACACAGTAGAATCTTATAACTGAACACACAATGTTGTCCTGGTAAAATATGTGCGGCAATAATGTTCAGCCGATTATGACCTTTCAAACGATACCTCACAAGGCATAGTTTTACAAAACCATGATCACTCTTGTACAAAGTGGTGAGCATAAGGGTACAGACTGTCACAGGGGGCATTCTCAAGAGCCCTTCAGTTTCACTGCAACAGTTTTCTAATTGAGATGGGGAGCCAGGGTTCTCACCCACGGTCAAAGGCCCCCAACTCCCTCCAGACATGGAAAAAAATAGTTCTAGTCAAATGATCCAGGCTAGCACCTGAACTGGCACCAGAAGAATCTGCCATTAACTCCCAGTTATTACAAGGGCTTCTTTATTCCATTTATGGACAGGTATTTCTACAGCTTCCTTCCCCATTTGAATCCTCAGGTGAATGCTCACAACAGGAATCCAGTACAGCTTAGCTATGGCCACTAGGAACTCCCTTTAACTACCTGGAAAAGAGGCACATCCGAACCACTAGCACCCAGAAAGGGCAGGTCCCAGTAGAATGCCCTGACCTGGCTGTAAGCCATACTGCTACTGTATTGCTGCTTTGCCCTAATACGTGGCCTCCAGAACAGCAGAGAGAGTTCTGCAGTGATAGCAAAGCAGCCACACAAGGGATTGCTTATGGAAAAGTTTTATTGTTAGTACTAAAATCAGATTGCTAAAAGCACTGGCAGTTGAGTCAGAGAACCACACTATGGGGAGGGTGGGCAGGTTGGCACAGCTGCTGAGCCTGTAAACTCAGGGCACTGGTTTCTGGGCAGCCCAGCTCAGGAGTGACTGACTGATGGACTCACTCCACACAACAGCTAAGTGTCTGCAGAGGTGAATTTCTGACAGAGCCACCGGGGCTGTCCTACCTTCTGATCCCCACCAGAGCTCAGGCATACGAGCGGGACAGCAAGGAAAAGCTTGCACGCCCGCTGCCGAGAGACTGCACATGTTTCTGGTAGCAAAGTTGATCCCTTATTCAGATATGCCACTGCCACCCTCCTCCTGAGTTACACGAGATAAAATGCTGCTGATCTGCAAAGCTCGGCCCTCCTGCAGAGCAAGGGTTAGAGACTCTGGACTCAGCCAGGGCAATAAAAACATTTGCAAACTCCGCTCTGTCCTCACTAACTTGGGCCAAACACAGCCTCTGAAGCCAGAGCCATCTCGTGGCAGCGGGCAGGGAGGCTGCAAAGGGCAGCTGAGAGCAGGGAGAGGGAATGAAGAGCTAGGGTCTTCCGAGGATTTTTAACCTGAC